CATGTACTTCTGTAGATTTTCCTGCCATAAATAGTTTTGGTTCCGCGACAAAACTAAAAGTCTTTGGTGTCGTTTAGAAATAAACGACAACAGACACACATTTATTTTGTTTGTTGTTTTGTTTTGGCCTATGATGTTGTTCCCGTGTTGATGAGGAAAATATTTTATACACTGACAGGCATGTAAGAACGCCCTATATTTCTTTATATAGTCATGGTTTGTCAAAGGGCATACACGATCTAAAACGTTTATAAATTATGACATTTGTTTGAGCTACATTATTCTTTGATTGATATACCGCATGACACACGTGCGCGTGATTCTGACCAATTATTGTATTTCAATCTTGGTTTATTTCAAAAAGTAACCAGGGTGGAAAATATTTATTATAATTATTTTGATTATCATTTATTTGTTTATTCTTTTTTTTCGGTGTTGTTATTTTTTTGTATTGTTGTTGTTTTTCTTATTTTTTTATTTCGTGTAAATACCTTGTTTTTCATGTTTAATGACAAATAACGAGATGTCCAGTTTGATTTACTATGAAAAAATATTATAAAATATGATAAATATCTTCATCACTATTTATATTCCTTTTCTATGACGTCACATAGAGCGGCTGTAAACAATGATAAACAATGATATTAGGCTATATGCTTGTATAATGCAAAACGTATGCAAGGCAATTCAATGCCGTTCTAAAGGAGTCGAAAAATCGGCACGGGTAGATATACAAGACCTATTATATAATCATAATATCATCACAACAAATGTGCAAGTATAATACACAAATAGGCGTTACAGAAACTTTTCATTGATACTTCTCTTTCCTTGTGTGGCGGTTGTAAAAAGTCTCCCCGTAACGTCATTTTGTTATTGCTTCAAAGTCATTAATTTCAATACTCAGGGATACTTAGGCTAAACAATGACTTAAAACTCGATAAAATGACAGTTTTTAAAGTCACAGCATGAATTTCTGTATAAATTCTATATATTTTAAGTTTGAAGCGTAAATATGTCTATATATGCTGAACAAATTTAGACGCCAACAGAATCACCGAATAGTTTTTTAAAACAGGTCATGTGACTTGAACAAACCCTTGAAACTACAATAACAGATATTGTGGATATTGTATGATTCAGACAAGTCTAAGCCATTCATTTGACATGTTCTTTAACGTTTCCAGAGTCTACTGTGACAACTATTGTGAAATCTTAACTACACGCGGGTCAAGTTAGGAAACCAGTATTTTATTATTTATATGCAGAACAGTTTTGTTCCTTTGACTGTCTAGTGTATTCATTTTGAGGACTTTAAAGAATAATGAATGAAAAATTCAAAACTAAGAAACGAAAATTTTGCCTGTGTCTCCCTACAGTATATTAATTGTTCGCACGATATACAACACAATATACAGCGAGTATTCATATCAATTTTTTGTTCTGTTTTATGTTGCTAAGAGGGGCATTTCTTCTCTTTTTTTACCAAAATTTGCCGAAAATGTCATAGTTTTTCGTGATTAAAATCATGGCATTCATTTATTAAAGGCCCATTAAGTTCCTGAAATGCTTTATTTTTTTTTATTTCTCAAAAGCTTTTTATTTTGCAATCCAGTTACAACTCATTGGTCATTTACAAGAATCATATTTTGATTCTTTTGCTTTTTGGAAATTTGTTCAGTAACAGTGACTTAATATTTTGTATTTTTCCTGTGGAAGTCAAAGTACTACTTTGTTTATAGTTCAGCGCTATATTTTCTTCTAACATGCACTAAAACTGTTATTTAAATGTTATAAAACCATGTCTGCCCTTTCTAAAGAAGAAACAATTATTCCTTTCTGAGGCATAATGTGACTTTAAGACATACAGTTAAACATTCATAGATCACTGAAACGTATATACAAAACATAATACTCGTCAACTTTTATAAGACCAATATGTGCATGCATAAGTGTGCGTTTTAAAACAATTTCAACACAAATATTTTCAAATCTGCGTATACCGTTTCCTTATCGTTCGCATACTTTTTTTAAAAGTACCGGTTGATCTATGTATTGTATTCTTTTTCATGCATTTGAACACTAGTTGAGCTCCGTTGATATTTATAATGTAAGTCAAATTAGCAACGAACTTTGCCGCTAAGTTCACTTCCGCAACATCATGTCAAATGTCAAGAAAACTATTTGACATGCTATTTATCTGTTATTAAGAGGTAATAATTCTTTTAATTAAAAAAGCACATGCCCATTACTTGACTTTACAGTAAAATATGAACCATCATGACAATGATGTGATGACATCACCTTATTATAGGATAACATATTCTTTGTACCGCCTTATTTCAAAAATCTCAAATTCTTTCAAATGGAACTGAAGATTTTGTCCAAATTAAGGAAGTAACTGTTTAAGATTTCATTAAAGTTGCATGCCTTTTTTCTCTCATTTAAACGTAAAAATGTTGTTGTTGTTGTTGTTGTTCAGAAGAAAGAAGACTTAAAAAGGACTCCACTAATGTTTTTTGGGGACTAAATACGGGACTAAAAATATTTCCCGAAATTTGAGTACCATTTGATGTACGTTGATCAATTTAAATCTGGGTTCTGTTTGTATATTTCTTTATTAGTCTTTGCAGATATTTCTATTTTAAGTGTTTCACTTGATCTATGTTAATATTACCACTTTGAGTTCTTCTTATATCTAAAAAGAATAGATCTGGAAAAAGGAAGATCCTCGAGTACAATTTAAACAAAGCAAATAGTTTTACGAAAAGTGAATGCCTAGGAGCAGTTCAATTCAAATTGTTTTTCCACTTGTTAATAGCTAAATTAGTACGTTTTTTGTACTTTGAAGAACAATAACTAAATTTTGTATCATAGTTTGGGGACCTTTCTGTTGAAAAAGTGTCAGAGTTAAATCGTATACATATACATGCACAGTGCGGTAACTGGAGTGCAGGTATCAGTTACCCGCACTCCAGATCATGCCCGTTGATTGGCTCATTTTTGCTGGGGTTTACATATTGTGACGGCAGAGAAAGGGAAAGCGGCAGAAATATCATATTTAGATGCTCGATCATTGGTTACTTTTTTCCCGGGGTTTAAAGTTGTAACAACAGGGAACGTGTTTTTATGTTTGACTATGATACAAAAGAGAAAGAACACCAAAACACTCGGCAATCTGATTTATACTCGGGGGCTACGCCCCCTCGTACAAATCAGATAGCCTCGTGTTTCGGTGCTCTTTCTATTACGTAAGTGTTCAATTGATCTTGAGTCGTATTTTCATTTCACTTAATATACGAGCCACATAGAAGCTAGAATTTATAATTCATTTTTTTTTTCAAAGATATAAATCAAGCACAGCGTTTATTCTATTTTAAGCTTCAAAATATAAATCAAGTTTTACCAAAAGTAACAAATATGGTGCAGTTGCCGCGCTGTGAAAGATGGCGGGACACAGCTTCAGTTTACGTAACATATTATACACATCAAACTGCCTCATTAATATGCATATCTTCTTGACGCATAATGAGTGATTAATTATGCTGATGTTTGCTTTGGACATGAAACACTGTCAAAGCGGTTTATATAAAACGGCAAAACACGCTCGCATTGATAAAATCTTAAATAATATGTCAAAAATACACTCATGCTCAGAGAGCTGTCCGTGGTGAGCTGTAGAACAATGCTGTCACTGTTTCAGCGGTTGTGATAGGGATTTTTTTGACATTTTTATGATGTTTGTCTTTCAGTTAAACGTTAAGTGTCAAAATACACGGACTCGCTATTAGATGTTACCTTGAAAGACAGGTGGAATGTAAGGCCCTTCCCTTGATGTCAATATTCTATATGGTTCTATTATTTTTATGTCTTATTTTTAGCATTAATTTCCTGTGTGTTATTGTACTTGTTTTGGGCTTTGTATGAACTATAAAATGTACTTGATTCTGGAGTTGTATGACCTACAAAATGTACTTATGTTGTATGGTGTTTAAATTGTACTTAATTCTTAGAATCAGGTTTCTACACGTCTTTTTCTATATTTGAAATAAAGTATTTGAAACATTAGTTATACTCGATTATTGAAATAAATCACAGCTTAGTTTTGCTACAGTTCCTTTTTATATTTGAACTATTTGTAACATAACTTATAAAAAGCCACTGACCATATGTTCATATGTTCATTTGAAAATGCCGAAAAATATTAATTTGGACGTGGTTCAAACCCGCGAGGATTAGAATATCAGCATGTGTACGGTGGTTTCCGAAATATTTTGTGTCAATTTAACTTCTTAACAATTTCTAAGCAATGGTTCATTAACAATTTATAACGTTTACTCCATATACCCCTTTAGTCTGACCCGGATGTGTACTGGTGGCAAAGGCTTATCAGCATTTTACGGGTGAATGTATGACCTGAGATCTTTCATCATGATACCCGAGCAATTCGTGCACCAACAAGTTAGTGGATTGCATTTGAATAAAAACCTTAATGTAACCTGTTTTCACTCTATTCAACCTTATTGAAAAAAAAACTTCTGTTTCACACCATTTATGCCTTTAACTTGATATTTAAAAATATGTGTTACTATTTAAGTTGCCTATAAATCTATGATTTCTGGCAATGGCTCAGATAATGGTCTAGTAAAGGGGTGAAATGTGTCCGATTTTTGTTAAAACTAATAGAGAATATATGTTATCTTGTTCATAAAATTAGAAAAAAAACCTATATATTTGATACAAACAAAACATACCTCCATTAAAATCTATTTTGAAATGGATTAGGCAAAAAGAAGGTGTACATAACTGACACGTCAAAAATTTCTTCTCATTTGTTTTATTTTGTACTTTCCAAATTTTTCGGGAAAAAATTATGTCAAAACAATAACAATCAGACGGGCCTCGTTTGGTGTTTGTTATTTATTTACAAATGAGGAGACAAATAATGGATGACGTCACCTGCGCACATTTAAATCTTTTCCATGACATCTAATATTTAAATAAGAAGTCACTTGGCAATAGCAAACGACAGGCGACACATCTTTAATATTCGTTCATTTTTGTTTTCCTTTTCGAAGTTCATTGACAATCAATATTTGAAAATGAAGTTTGCAGTAGTTGCCGTGTGTATCATGTTTGTAGCGTCAGCGTATGGACAAGGTCTTTCGGAAATGATGGCAATGTCTGCCATGTTAGGCAACCGCGGTTCGAGTTCCAGTTCGGGTAGTTCTAATCCTTTTGCAGCGCTTACCAGCGGATCGTCCGCGTCATCATCATCGAATCCATTAGCAGCTTTGGCCAGCTCCGGAGGCTCTTCTAACCCACTTGCTGCTTTAACCGGTGGTGGTGGTGCCAGCAATAGCAACCCAATGGCTTCTTTGATGGGAGGTGGCATGGGTAGGATGGCCAGCGGCATGATGCTAGGAGGTATGTGACATCTTCTTTATTGTTTTTGCTGGCTTCAATAAGGCATATTAAGAAATAGTTAAATTATTTTTCTAGCAAAGAATTTTTGTTTTTTAAAAGAAGATATTCGTTCTTTTTTCTATCTATTTGTTTTATTTTGCAATTACACATACAAAAATGTTGGGCGTTTTGCCTCTTTAAATATTTACTTTATACGCTATATTGCGTGAAGAGGTCATTTCAATCCAGACAATTTTTTTAACCATCATAAGATTATGTTCTCGAAAAAATGCTTAAAAATATTACATTATTTCCGGTTTAAAAAGACAATTATCATCTAAATTCTTTAGATATACTTAAAATACTTTTTAGAAAAATATATATGACCTATAATTGTTGCTTTCTTATTTTTTTTCATCAATTTTACGCTTGGTTATTATAATCCAATTCAAACTTTATCGGACATCTATTCAAAGTATTATGAAAATACGATGGCCACGTTTAAAAAATGGTTTAAGAATTGTTCCTTAACGAAGAGACATATAAAAATACTTAATAAGATAATATTCCTGGTTTTATTAGTTTGACTCTCTTTATTGCGAAGCATTTAAGACAAGAGTTATTTTACCTGATTTTTTTACTACATATTTATTTAACAATTCCAACAAATAACATTTTATTCAACTTGTCGTGATCATTATCATCACTTACTATATCATCACCATTATCATCGTCATCTTCGAAATTATCATCACTTAATCATCATTGTCTTCATCATCGCCATCGACATCGGATCGTCATCGTTATCACCATTATCAGCAACAAAACCATTACTTTCATTATCATTATCATAATCATTATCATCATCAGTATTGCGACCCGTGACAAGTATCATCATTATTATCATCATCATTATCTTCACCAACAACGTCATGGACCACAGAATCATAACAACTACCTGCAGCAGCAATCATTCCCTTCATACCCGGCATCATCATCATCATCATTATAATCATCATCATCATCATCATATAAAATATATCATCAATTTAATCATCACAATTTTACGAAGTAATTTATAAGATATACTTGTATTATTACAGGGGCTGAGATGAGCAACTTGATGGACTTCTACACGTGCGGAATGATGCGTCTACCATACCAAATGTGCTTCATGATGATGCATAACAACATGTAATCAATGACGTCATTACCGGAAATGATATCTTTTTTCAATAATACAAGCATCTAATACCATTGACATTACACACCCGGATGAATCAGCTGTGGTAGTATTACACTGCTCACCGGTGCACGAAACGCTACATAAGAACCAATCAGTGACAAGAATGAATCAAATATCCGTTAAAATTATAAACTTGCATACTGTGTATGTACCTACTGGTTGGCAAACTTGCACACAAAATAATACATGTAATACTACCCTATTGCACGTTTTTATCGTGCGTCTTTTATTTCGCAGCCATTGCTGTTTTCTGTTTCTACATTTCTTTGTAGTATTATTTATTTTGTATTGTTTTAATTACGTATCCCTCTTTATATATAAAAACAAACAAACTTACCAAAAAAATAAATATAATAAAAGTGTTAATGAATGTTTTTGTTATTGTTAAATTTACATTGTTGATATTGCCTTAAAAGTGTTCCACGCTTATGCAACGTTACTAAACTATTCAGGGGAAGTAACTTCGGCGGAATGTTATATGTCATTTCCGCCCTCATAACGTAAAACATCGTAAGAAATGTCTGAAACTGAATTCAAATACAATGACTAAAAATCAAGACCATGCAATAAAAATGTAAAAGACAATTAACATGAGATATCAAGAGGCCGGCCTGCTTTCGCTGGCTGTTCCACAAAGTCCATAAGCAATCATAAAAACGTGTGGATTGACGAAGTCACAGTATTTTTATAATTTTAATTTTGCACGTGTTATGTGATAGTCGAATGTCCATAAATAAATGTAAACCAATAACCTCCGGAGAATAACCCCAGGACATTAATTTGATCATTTTGGTAAAGATCAACTGCCCAATGTTTACTGCCAAATATCTGAACATGTGCATTCCGTCAAATGCAAAGCCTGAACACATTTCGTTAAATGCCGAGCCTGAACACATTTCGTAAAATGCAAAAATACCCCATGATCTGATCATTTGGCTATCTCTGTCGAAAAAAATTATGAGCCGCGCCATGACAAAATCAACATAATGGGTGTGCGACCAGCATGGATCAAGACCAGCCTGTGCATCCGCGCAGTCTGATCAGGATCCATGCTGTTCGCGTACAAACCCTTTTACAAGTAGAGAAACTAATAGTGAACAGCATGAATCCTGATCAGACTGCACGGAGGCGCAGGCTGGTCTGGATCCATGCTGGTCGCGACCCACTATGTTTTTTTTTATCGTGACGCGGCTCATATTTGTACATGTGTTCAATATATTGTCCATGTACAATAGATAATGGTAAAGCAAAAACGCTGTTTGAACTGCCGGAAGTGAAAAAAAAATATGAATGTCTTGGTCGTGCCCAGCCCGCCCTCCACCCCCTCCTACCCCCTCCTTCTACGTCATCTAACCAGAATGATTTTATAGCAAAATAGCACTATCGTTGTGTTTATTATGCGTAGTTTAGAAGAAACCAGCTGCATGAAAAACGTTCACGTCAACGTATAAAACGTCAACAAAAAACACTCTAGGCAAATGTGAAATGTCTATGCCAATTTATCATAAGTAAAAAAGCAACATGAACTATATACAGACAATCAAGACTGGCCATTAAGTGAGGTTACACAAATTTCGTTTTCAAGCAAGTTAAATGTATATGAACTTTTTTGCTGTCCTCTTTATTTTTTGCTCTACAATGTAGGTGACATGTATATTCAAGTGGGTGAAACACATTCATGTTACGTAAGATTAAATGATAACAAAATTATTACAGCTTATATGAAAATTCTTGTAACCAGTTTCGGTGTCTTAACTTTGAAATTTTGAGATTTTATTAATTATTATACGTTGTGCATTTCAACCTCTTCAGAAAAACACCCTTTAAAGAAATAAATATTTTTCTTCTTCTTTAGAAAGGGCAAACGTAGTTTTATAACGTTTAAATAATTATTTTATATCATGTTAGATCACCAAAGGAAAGAAGCTCTGAATGTAAAATAATTTGTCATAAAAGTAGCAAAATGTAAACAAAGATGTATTTTGAATTCCATACAAAGTACTAAATCAATATAGCTGTACTTATTGCCAAAGGTAATAGAAGCAGAAGATGGCAGATGTAATTGTCATATTAGCTATAATTGCTCACCAACATAAAAGCTATTAAGAAATAAAAATAAAAGAGTGTTTTCGGGGCAGAATGGGCCTTTAAGAGACAAGGATTTCGGGTGTTACTGAGAAAGTGGGGGTCTGATACTACTATCGTTGTCACAAGGTTGTTGTTGTAGGGCGGTTGTGATGGGGGTTACACTGTATTTGAGATGTATTGAAGGTATAATAATTGCATGTAGATGCTATCGGTGTTGCACTGTACTAAGCTCATGTATGTTTTATAATTGCCTGCAAATGTTACAGGGATTTTATACATATTTTATGCTGACACCTGTGTGCATTTGGATAATATCAAGTTTCCAATTTTCTTATCTGCACATGCACGTTTTGCTTTTGAACTCGATTTATAACGGTTGCATTAACAATTAAATATATTTCTAGATAAAAGTTCTTAAACTTTGAAGTTGTAAGAACCGTCCATGAACAGCAACAAGAGGGTTCAAGCCACAGGTGCTCGTCCAGTCTTGGTGACCATATAAAAAAATGAAGTTTAAAAAAAAATGAAAAAAAAATTGAAAAAAAAAAAAAAACGAAAAAATAAACATCAAAATAAATATTTTGGGTTGAGTGTAGGAAAAAAAATTGATTTTTTTTTCCTATATACCATTACTACGAAAAGGTCACCTAGTCGCCGTAACTCTACGGAGTTTTACTAGGACACGCTATGGAACAACCACAATGTCGAGTTCTGTAACAATAAAAGCTATTTTGCTACTCTTTACACATTGTGCATTTAGAAAATTGTTAACATTCTTATTCTACCTTACATACAATCTTAAATAACTTACATTTAAACTCGGACACTCCAATTTGTTAAAATTTTGCAAAACAACAGTGATTGTCGGCCATTTTGTCGAAAACGAGAGTACAAAACATACTGTTTCGCTGTTCTGCAGGTCCCCTACGACTACGTTCGCTGAACAATATACAACAGTAACAAATAAATTGATGGTTACCGTTGTCTACTGTTCCTCGCACGTAGTCTTAGAAAACCAGGAGAGCGGAACAGTACGATGTATGTTTTGTACTTTCGATTTTGACAAAATGGCCGACAATCACTGTTGTTTTGCAAAATTTTAACAAATTGGAGTGTCCGAGTTTAAATGACCGACCATCAACAGAATTTTGCAAGATTTTAACAAATTGGAGTGTCCGAGTTAAAATGTAAATTATTTGAGATTGTATGTAAGGTAGATGAAGAATGTTAACAATTTTCTAAATGCATGATGTGTAAAGAGTAGCAAAATAGCTTGTATTGTTACAGAACTCGACATTTTGGTTGTTCCATAGCGTGTCCTAGTAAAGCTCCATAGCGTTACGGCGACTAGGTGCCCTTTTCGTAGTAATGGTATATAGGGAAAAAAATCTTTTTCTTACACTCAACCCAAAATATTTATTTTGATGTTGTTTTTTTTTTTTTTTTTGTTTGTTTTTTTTTTTTTTCAATTTTTTTTTTTCATTTTTTTTAAAAACTTCATTTTTTTATGTGGGCACCAAGACTGGACGAGCACCTGTGGTTAAAGCTAGATTCGCTATAAAGAAAAGTTTAGATCTTTTATTTTTGCAACCATCGCCTGGGGGGTGGGCGGTTGAATGTATGTATGTTCGTAAAGCAAGGTTGCATATCCATATTTATAATAAATAACGGGAATGGAAATTAAAATGATTACACAAAAAAAAGAGTTATTTTATTTTCGTTGGTTTTAATGCTTTTTTCAACGTATTTATTCATTTTTTTATGTTTTGTTTTGAATAGACTGTTACAAAATACTTATTTACTAAAAGTGAATAGCCTATGTCAATAGCATAGAGTTGTTTGCTTATTTTTTGTATATTGATATTTAAATCACCTTTTTAATCAAATGGAATGTTCCAAAATGCTATAAATCCTATAGGATGGCAAATTTATTACACAAATGCAGCAGATATGCAGCGGGTTTATGAAAATATCTACTTAAAATCATTCTTTTTACCATCAAAAGCTTATTTAACAAAACAAACATGAACAATTAAAGATAAAGTAATGTGCATCTAAAAGAGTTGATATTTAGCCATAATTTAAAAACGTAAATCTCTTAAGGTGAAACTTTTATGGAGACAAGTGAAAAATGATAATATTATGCTACTCGACGCTGTACGGAACCATGGTGACGTTGATTCACGTATAAATGTCTTACGTTGAACTGCGTATAACGTAACGGCATCAACATTAACTGAGACCTCTCGTGTGTTTCGCCTTTTTCTATGCATTTTGCAGAATACAACAGTGTTTATATTAAATGCAAAGGTGTCAGGAATCAGCCACCATACTTAATAATGTATAATGGTGAAATCTACTGACACGACTTCCGGTGTTTTAATTGTTATATAACGTTTTGGCATTTTATCATACTAAGATGTAATAAAACTTGAGCGTATATAAATATATATTATTTTTTTATGTTTGTTAATTAAATAAGCTGTTGATGGTTAAAAGAACTGATATTATCTTAAACTCTTCGTCTGCTGAATTTATGTAATAGATATGCTCTATTATACGAATCTGGAACAGTCCATTTGAAAAAAGGGGGTTTGAATATCAAAATAAAAAAATTGAGCACAAACATCTCTATACTAGTGACATTAATTTCAGCAAATTAAAGGGACTCTATATGACCGTACTGGAAATAATTTTTCGAGATAAATGTTTCATTTCATGTTGGTCTGTACGATTTCAGATCATATGCTAACGCCGTATTTTCAGAATTATTATTCTTATTGTGGCAAAAAATACTCCAAATTGTAGAGCTTTGCAAGGTTTCACTGAAAGGGAGACACAGGCATTTTTTTTATTTCTTCGTTTTGAATTTTGAATTAATTTTTCTGTAAATGTCCTCAAAATAAATACACAAGGCAGTCACATGAACAAATTTTTTCTCATTATAAAGTATAAAATGACGTGGGTCAGGTTAGAGCGTTAAGATTTCACAATACATGTGGAAACATTAAAGAACAACTCTTATGAATGACTTGGACTTGTTTCAATCATACAATATCCACACTATCTTTTATTGCAACTTTGAGGGTTTGTTCAAGTCACAAAACTTGTTTTAAAACTACTCGGTGATTCAATCAGCTTCTAAATTTCGTTCAACATAATATAGATATATTTACGCTTCAAACCAAAATATATAGAATTAATACAGAAATTCATGCTGGGATTTTTTTTTTAAAAGTCATATTAGTGTTCATAAGATCATTTTAATATTTTTGTCG